TCAGTTTAATAATTTTTCTACCAATCATAGCTTATGGTACCCAAACCAGAACTTTTATGACATATTACATAGAGGAAGGAACTAACGTATATGAAAATAAAGAGCTACATCTACAAATAAAAGGCTGAACCGAATGACTAAAGAATAAGATTATGCATTGAATATCAAAAAATATAAAAGAGAAGAATGCAACTTGACGGAGAAATCACCTTAAACAACATCCTGGACCATTATAGAAGCAAATTAGTCTGCTTCTATATTGGCTGCTAATAAGTCTGAGGAAAGACAAAGTTATCAACCGCCATATATATTTTTTGTAGGTTTTTAACCATTAGTGTTCTATTATATTTAGATTTTTTGTAAATGGAAGAGAGTACTTATAGTTGTAATCACCAAGAACTGCTTTTTATAGTTACTAACAGTAACTCCGCATGTTAAGGACTGTCTTAAACCTAGTACAGCTACAGATAGTCAAATTTCAGTTCAGCCGTAAGATGCACAAATCAAGAAGATAAAGCATAGCAAGAAAAACCAGAGCCTGGTCTATCAAAAACCACTGCGCATTTCAAGGTCACAGACAAGATGGATTTGGGCAGCAAGTGTTTGTTTCCAAGACTTTGATTGACTTTTTTCTTTTAGTAATTTAATTTAGTGATAAGCGGTTATACTAAAGACATATTGCATTTGTTTTAAAATAAATTTTATCCAAATTTCGAATTTTATATGATGAACCAACCTGTATTATATATTGCCTAATATTTTGTTCAGTTTTGGATGTTAACCTGTGTGATATGATGTTGCACTTTTTTGTAAATGTTTTGCAGTTTTCTTTTCTAAGTAAGTGCATTTTTTTGTATTGTAAGCTTATGAGTTTATTAATCAGTTCCACGTTGAGCTCTTCTTTGTACTATATTAAAATTAGTTTTAATTATTATTATTATTGTATAGATATAGTTTTTATTGAGGCAACTACCAAATTGAATGTATTTCACTTTCCAAAAATATATAGCCGTTAATTTATTTAATGTTTTTTTTACAAACATTTTTATCGAAATTCCGGTTGAGATTACCGAAAGTATAAGCTGAATATAGCCGCAATTGTCAACCATGAAATAAAATATTTTGGTTTGGAGCGTTGTGATGTTTTTATAATGCATAATAATATGTTGTATGCTTCAAATGTAAAGAGAGAAAGCTCTTAAAAAGTACATTTCGATTATACTAATTAATGAAATCTGCAATTTTTAAATTATATGAAACAATAACGAGTTGTCTCTTTCGAGATTAATTGCAAACAACTGTTGCAATCTGGCAACTGCTGATTTGACGATTGCCAAATCTATCAAAGAGCAATTGTCAAAAAAAAATTCTAATAATTACCTTCAATTAATCTCCAAATAAACAAATATTTACTCATTATTGTTTTATATAAATTAAAAAATGTAGAATTCATAACATAGTATAATCAAAATGTACTTTTCTAAAGCTTTATCGCTTTATATTTGAGGCATACAGCATATAAATTATAAAACATGCCTACACTGCTAAACCGAAATTTTTTGTTCCATGTTTGACATTTACGGCTATAATCAGCTTGTACTTTCGGTAAACTCAACCGAAATCCCCACTTAGACTTACTTAAATCCGGAACTTACGAGATTTGCAGGTATCTACTTGAAAACACTGTGGAATTCTTTTATTCTTCGTTTACAACAGTTGTTAAGAATATTTTGGTGAGAGAGTAGCTGATGAATAACCAAGAGGAAGAAGTATGCAATATTTACACATCTTTCGACAATATTTAAAGACTGGCTGTATAAGAGGGAAACAGAGTTATTTGGATATTACTCAGAATTCAAATTCATGACCATATATCCATTGGAAATGATTTGAAATTTCAACAAATACAAATTCTGCTTCATACAAAATTATTTGGCAACGTCTCGTCTCGCGTGGTCAAAGCACCGAATCAAAGTAAGGACAGGGGTAACGAGTAGAGGACGTGGGTCTTTAACGTTTTTTTCGTAAACAAGTAACTATGATTGTTTAACGGTAGTTTCAAAAGAGTACCTACATAAACAAACATAATGGCTATTATCGTTTACTGTATATTTATTGAAGTGAAAGAAACTAATGAAGCATATACTTATTATAACTTGATTAGTAAATGTACTACGTCGGATACTATGGATGTAAGGTTACCGTTTGCTAAAATTTTATTGCAAGATTCTTGCAGACAGCGTACCATAACAATCACTGAACAACCCTTAAAGTATTTTTGGCCACTCATTGTACAATAGGTGAAGTTCTACCTAGTTTCCACGTCTTGAATTGGCCGTTTGGGAACTTTGTTATGTTGTAATTGATACTATAAAAGCATTTCTGAAGGTACTTTTTTTGAAATGTTTTTAGCGGAATTGTCGAAAAAAAGACTTTTTAACTTTATCTATTTGTACACGACAGCATTTAAGTGCGTCCTCCACCAATTAATTTAACGGATGAGCAAAACAATTTAAATTTTTTCATTCCAAAACATCTTTAATAGCTTTGACCATATCTGAGGCATTATCAGTTACTGCAAAATGTACTTTTCGTTTTAGACCCCACTGATTAATAATTTCAAAAGCGATGTTTTCTGAATTGTGGTTTCCATTAAAATTGGCAGCAGCCTAATAAAACCGTTTTAAATTCTAAATTTTCGGTTAAATATTGTCCTATTAATGAGATGTAACTCTCAGTTACTGCAGATGCCAGAGGTCAGTAGTAATCATAGAGCAAAAAGATAAAAGAGGGAATGTAAAGGTAGTGGGGACAAAAATATTGTTAGACAGGAAGTGCTATCTTGAGAGGCCACTTTAAACAAGGATAGACTGTCTCTTTCCTTGTTTAAGAAGTCAAATTTAGTTTGGTTATGTTATTGTTTGTCCCAACTGTCACATGAAATTTTATTTATATTGAAGATTTTTACCAATTGTGTCACTTTTTAGACTATTATCGTTAATATTTAATTAAAACTTTCTTGTCTGAAAAATATTTTACAGCTATTGTTAACAAGTGTTGGAAAATTTAAATTTAGCGCCTTTGCATTTCCGGATATGCCGCCATCAGAGGCCACTTTTTTGGTCTCCTTTTCATAACGATTAGATTCCCTCTTTTATCTTTTTGCTCGATGGTAGTAATACAGATATTTTCTACTTCTTTAACAACTTGTAATAATTTGCTCAGTTTTGGTATAACATTTCTGAAGTAATGAACCTGACAAAGTTTTTCTTGTTGGCGGTTTATATCCAGGAATCCACCCTGTAAACTTTTTAAAAGCTCGTTCTTTAACTATGGAAAACGGATGAAACGAGTCTTTGCATAGGTTTAGTAAATCCATATCTGTTTCTTTTGTTCTAAACTAATATTTTTATTAATGGAAGTATCCATCACCTTTTGACGCTTGGGTGGCGGTGGCAGTAGTACTTGTAGTAGAAGTAGTCAAAACGGACAGAAATGTGTCAGAAGTTTCAATCATTGCAATATTCAGAAAGTTGACCATAAAAGCTGCATCTTCTACAAATGTGCATTTTTTGAAAATAAAATTATTATTCTTATACTAGGTCAATAAGTTTGATTAAGAAAAAGAATTCTTAATTGAATATTTACAATAAATAAATCCTTTTCTTAATTATCAATAAAGATTTGAAATCTAAAATGCAGATCAATCGTAAATCGAAACTCATTCATTAATCAGAATACGTAGTTATTTTATTTTCAACGTCAACCGATAGCCCGAAAGAGTCGCATGTTATTTTTAGTTTTGTAGTAGTCTCTCAGATCAATTAATCGTCCTCGTCGACATAAAGTGTTCGTTGCTCCTCTGTTCACGTCTAAACAAAACATAGTTTTTTTGAATCAACCATCAACTAGTTGGCTTACCATTGAGAAACCGTAGATTCGTAAATGGCAAATAATGATTTAAAATGCAGGTATTTTCTGATAAAAATGAAGGTAAAAAAACAAATTGTTAAGAAGCTGGTTACTTCCATAAAAAAAGAAGATTGTACTATTGAAAATCAACCAGTACAAAAAAAGAAACTGATAAAGATGACTTAAGTCCGTGGTGTATTTTTGATGAATTAATTGGACATGACTCATCTAAGCATACACCTATATCGAGAGATATAAAAGAAGTTGACATGTATTTGTCTGATGATATATTACCCACAAACAATTTCGAAGGAAGATTGGAACTGTTCATTACAGTGGTGGAAAAACTATCGCAATGTATATCCTAATTTAAACACTATATTCATATTGTAGTATTGTAACAAAATCGCTTCCTTGTGAACATATGTTTAAAATCTGGTTTAATTTTAAATAAAAGAACACGGTTAACAAGAAAACTGGAAAAACTTATGTTTTTAAATGTCAACTTAGACGATTCGCGATTTAATAATGTGTAATGTAAATGTAAGCACTACCTACCATTTGCATTGTTTAATTTACTTTTCAAGTTATAATAAATATATCCTTCGTTAATTTCTTTCACTTAATTACACACATAAACGATAATAACCAATATGTTTGTTTGTGTACTTGCTCTTTTGAAACTACTAGTAAACAATTAACTAGTTCCTAGTTTACGAAAAACGGTTCCTATAAAAATGTAAACAGCCCACCTTTAGTTTCTTAAGTATATTAGAATCGGAACCAGAGATATGTAAAATATCTCTGATCAGAAATGATCGTCTCAGGGGAGAACAAGGGAAAATATGATGGTTATCTTTGTCTATTCGCTGAAAATATGATTTTATATCTGTGTTAGATATCCTGTTAAATTTTACCATACCAATCATAAACTTTTACCTACACTGTATACCGCAATTACTGCACATGTCTTGATATTTTATGCAATGCTAAATATTATTTCGGGCCCATGCAGAAAACATAGCAGGCGATGAGAAGTATTCACTTCAAAATATTTTTAAAAAATATGAATATTTGAAAAATACATTTTCTGCTGGTTTAAACTTTATTTCCACTAATTAAACACCAATTTATATAAAACAAAAAATTTAGCCTGGGGGCCATTGCATTTGCCTTCCAGACAAAACATGTATATGAAGATGGTAAACTGATTGGGCACCTATGGGACCATCATTGATTACAATTCTAAAACCATTTTTTAAATTCCTTTTCTGTGCAATTTTCCTTGCAACTACTAAAAGATGACCCAATAAAGCTTCATCATTGTCTTCAGCTTTTGATAACTGTGGAATATATTTCCTGGGAATTACAAGAAAGTGGACTGGAGCTTGTGGGTTAATGTCGTCAAAAGCAACACACTAAAAATAGAAAATCATTGTTTATTGTACTTCAATTCATGGAAAAACTTATTTTAGAGTGCTTAAGATACAAATAGTTTTGAGTCTATAATTCAGAACTATATATTTCTCTAGAGATATTTTCTGAAAGTATTCCTAGTTGTACGTCACTAATGAGTTACAACATATTCCTGTCACCTTCTTGTTTAAATAATGCTTTATATACTCTATTCACGAACCAGATCCAGTCACATCTGTCTAATAAATATTTTTTTTTTGGTTATATTATATAATACACACTCACCGCACGAAAAACAAAGCACTTGCATTTTTAAAATAAAATTTTAGTTCTCTTTAAACTTTTGCTGTTACAATATCTTAAACACAAACGAAACAAACTGTTTTAAGTAATTTCTAATAAAAATTTAAGTTTTCAACAAAGAACTGTTTCAGTAACTAACAATTTAAAAATTAAGGAAAAAAATGCAAGTAAATGACGTAAATGAGTTGTAACAAAATGACACTCAATTACTAAAAATTTGAAGTCATGTGTCCAGACCAACTTTTTATACCTAATTTTAATAATGAATGTTTCCTCTATGTGCTCGAATTATTGCCTGAATCCTCCTTGGCATGCCTAAAATCAAATGAGAAATGTCCTGTTGGGGAATAACTTCCCATTCCTCTAAAAGGGCTACTTGTAAATGATTTAACGTTAAAGGGACAGGAACACTTCTTCATATCCTTCTCCTAAGCATGTCCTAAACATGTTGGATTGGGTTTGCGTCTGGACTCAATGCCAATCCATTATAGGAATGTTTACTTCATTTAAAAACTATTGTGATTCTCGCACTGTAAGGCTTGGTATTATCATGCATCAGAACAAAGTAATTTCTAACAAAACCAGCATAAGGCACAACATAATCTTGGAGAAGGTTATCAATGTACCTAGCAGCTTGTATGGAACCTCACAAAATGATATACAATTCTGTACATGCCTCTAGAGAAATTCCAGCCCACACCATAATTGGGCCTACTTGACAGTCAACTGAGGACTACTGAGAACCTAGGACTGAAGGTACATTCTGCAAAATGCTCATGTGGTCTTCGACTTTGTAAGAGGATAAAGCAATCATCACGGGCACTAGTTCTTCGTTGGTTCAGGTTCCAAGTTATCTAGTGTAAGCTCAGGTTGCCAAGAAACATGTATAAATATGTTGCACAGTACTATTGGATATTTAATACTTTTGAGCAACATATCGCTCACTTCTTCCATTTTGAAGCAAAGCAACAACAGCAGTCTTTTGTACAACAGTCAATTGAACTTCAAATTGTGTTTAGACACTTGATTCGACTTGGCAGTTTACTCAAATCAACTTGAACAAAAGAATAACAATAGAATACCAACAGCTACCTTTACACTTTTAAAACTGATAAGTATAGTGTATTCTTTATTTCTTACTTAAAATAGTTTGTTTCATCATTTGCGTTTTCGTTATTATAATATAATACTAAAGAGAATTAAAAATTCAGGTTTTTATTTTTTTTTTAAATGCCAGTGCTCCGTTTTTCGTGCCGGTGAGTGTATAATAGGTGTGTTAAAACAAGAATAATAGGTAAACATCTAGTTATCTGGAGATTGTTAAAAATCACTAGGCAACATTAAGATAGATAACTTTGTAGCAGTTTAAATCTAGTCCTAGGAATAAAATACCCTTTTCTAAAAATAGTATAGCAATAGGAAGTAAACTAATTACTACAGCTAATTGTGAAAGCATCAATAATTTTTTTTAACAACTAAAAAACATATCCCATATGTGTTGAGATTTATAGGCTGTTATTTCAGGTGTAAACCTATGGAAATACATGGGCGACTCTCAAGCGAACTTATTGTGCACTATGTGTACAGGGTCTGGGTCTATTAATGCTGTCTACATTTGTTTTGTTAGTTTTTTTTATACTAAAAATCTACCATAATTACTCATTCATGACCGTTGCCGGCAGGTACAAAAATATTGGATAAAGTAGTTACAAGAAGGTGAATATAAATTATTACCAAATTATCCTCATAAATGAAGTTACATGGAATTTCTTTTCTTAGTATTTTCCCAAAAATTGTATCTCCACCGGCTTTGGCATCTTGTGCAAGTTGTACTTCATCGGCCATGTTTTAATTTGACACTTTTGACAGTGTTTGACACCTTAACTTTTGACACTGACTGCCAGAGCACAGAATAATAAGCAATTAATAATTGTTTATTATTCTGTGGCCATAGTATCCTCTAAGCATGGAGTTATTTTAACTCGATGCCTCCAAGGGTGGATGGATGAGTACTCGCGACTTTGGTCAACAGTGCTGTGCAATGACATTTTATCTGGTGTGCATAGAAAAATAAATCCGGTTTAATTTATTTACGACAATTATAGACATGATATGCACTATTTTATTCGTACTTTTAGTTCAAGAATAGATTAAATGAATTCAAATGTACACTTCCCGTCATATAAAACTGGTACACTTTTTTTTCCCAATGTAAACCTGTGTTCAGAAATCAATTCGTTGTTGCCAATACAGATAACGGAATTGCACTAAATCTAAATAAAAAAATAACGTTAAAAATGTATAAAATTTTTAGATAGGTATTATATTTATCATTAACATAAAAAAACCGTATCTAAGAAATTAAATAAACAAAGACAGGGTTGAGTTATTGTCCAAAATGTTTGAAAGATCTTTAAACATGTGGTATTGGCACAGAGAACATTGGAATGCATCTACTGTAATTTTATACTTCAATTACATATCGAACACGTACTGTATTTTGTGTCAATAAGTTTAGTAACAAACTACCAAGATTAAATTATTATTTATTATATGAACAATAAATGTAAAAAAATAACATTTTGCTTATCCTACGTATTATAAACTATAAAATATCCGGGGCGAAAAAACGCTTTTTAAAACGTGACAGTTTTAATCCAATATCTCACTGTAATATTTTATTATAATAATTTGAAGTTTGTCTAGATTGATTATCTGTCATTATTTTTGAATTGAAATATTTTGATAAATCGTTATAAAATATATTTTCGTTGAACTGGCAATGGTGCCCTAGAAATTAGAATGACAAATCTGACAAGATCAACGTACACAACTTAAAAAACACGATTTTTGATTATAAGAATTGTACCAGTTTTTTATGACGGGAACGGTACTAAACTATAAATCTCTAAAAATTTAATTTACAGTTCTGTCGTAGCTTGTCACAAATTTCTCAATTCGAGTCTATAAATCTAATTGTATGTTTAAATCTAAAATATGGCGATCGCGTGCTGACAAACTTCAAAGGCGGCATTTGCAGAACATTCGCCAACTTCGAACGGACAGGCATTCTAAGAAGAAGACTCTTGACCCCACAGAATAATAAACGAGTGTTATTATTCTGTGACAGAACGACACAAGAACACAGCATGTGACAAGACATCACTGGACAAGACAGAGTCCCTATTCTGTGACACAGATTAGGAAACTTGTCTTTACTGTTATTAGATAACATCCAAAACGTCAAAAACTAATATAACCTTTTTAAAACTAAAACTACTTTAAAAATACAAATTAAAAATGTTAAGTAAATAACGAATCTATGATTAAATATGGATTAAATGGTTATCATAGTTATGGTTCAATATCATTCATATGTCTACTAATGTAAATAATATCCAATGCAGTCTCAAGGAACTGAAATTAATAAAGAAAATGTGAAACACGTATGTTCGATCTGTGGTTTTGGTATGTTAATTGATTTAGTAATTATTTTTTTCTAAAGTAAAATTTATTTACCATGCGGTTTTTTCTGTTCAGTTTTGATTGTTGTAGATCAGATGATGGTTAAATATTTTCAAATTTCCGCGCTGTAACGGAAAGATGTCTGGTCCGTCAAAAAAAAAAATACCGCCAAAATTTTGGCGGTCTTATATATATCAAACCGGCAAATCCGTTACATCTTCATTTGTTAGCGTCTTTTGTCCGTGAGCTTGTGATTTTTATCGAATAACATTATAATTATGCCTTCAGCAAATGGAGCCAATATTTTACTTAAATACACTAAAGTATTGGAAGAAGCATATCCTCCAACCAAGGGTTCTGTAAAAGCTGCTGGTTATGACTTAAAAAGTGCACATGATGTTGTGGTACCGGCTAGAGGCAAAGCCCTAGTTGATACAGGCCTGAAAATTGAACTACCAGAAGGTTGCTATGGAAGAATTGCTCCAAGATCTGGTTTAGCTGTAAAGAACTTCATTGATGTTGGAGGTAAGAAAATTAAAACTTTACTGTAGGTACTTATACCAATATCAAAAACCTCATTTGAACATAGGGATGATAAAGTTCCTGGAATATTAAACATAAGATGTTATGTTTTTTAATGTATGTGTTATAAGATGTAGCTTTTTGGTGTGAGTTCTGGAGCTTTGTGTATTCCATATAATTCTGCTGTATGTATACTACAGATTGTAGGAAAACAAAATTATGTGTTTGTTTGATGCTGTTGTAGTAACTGCGCAGCTATATTTTGTAATTGGTAGTTGTTATAATTATCATCATTATCATCATTGGCTCCACAACCCATAGTGGGTCTTGGCCTGCTCAAGGATAATTCTCCATTCTCTCCTATTCTTCGCCTTGGCTTTCCAGTTTCATATTCCCAACATTCTCAAATCTTCCTCCACCTCATCCTTAAATAATGCTCTGGGTCTGCCTCTATTTCTCACTCCATCCATTCTTTATTTTATATAGTTCTTTAGAGATAAAACAGAGCTAATAAAAAATATTATAATCTTCATTTATATGTACAGAAACAACTGTAAGATTGATTATACTCATAGATATTTTTTATGAATATATTGCGAGAAAGTTTGGCTGCTAAACCACTTGTCTTTGCAGATAAGCAAGAAAATATGGAGCTCAGCTCTGTGGCTGCAGGGACCTTAGCACAAGTGGTTCCAGTATCTGAAGAGCACCTGGAGGCAGAGCCTGAAATCATAGAGATAGACTCTGACTCCTCAAACGAGAAGGAAGAAAATCCCATAACAGTAGAGTTTGATTCGTATTTGGCACATAGAGTATAAAGTGGTTGTATTCTCTAATATAAATTTCTCTTTGATTTGTTTGTTTATTGATATAAATATAGTTTAAAAAGTACATATACACGTTATTTATTTACCATTTTAGACACTGGTATACTTAGTTTGCCAGATTGCCATAAATGTAGTTTATAATAAACTACATTTTCGAAGGTCATTTTTCATCATCATCTTTGGCTGTACAACTCTGGGTGGGTCTTGACCTGGGTGGGGTTGTTATAATTATAAAATTGCAAAAGCAGAGTTTGAAAATCTTTTGGTTGATATTTATTACCCTCTTAGAATTGTTTCCTTTTTCAGTTATTTACCATATTTTCTTCATAAATTTTTTTATGAGTATTTTTGTCTGCTCCCATCACATTTTACTCTTATTTCCTTATAACATAATGGTTTTATTAAATCTATGTTATTTGTGTTTTATGCACACATGTGCCTTCTATATTTCCCTTATTGTTATCGTTATGGTGTGTTATTTTGCATTAACTTAACTAAATGATTTTATTTCTTTGGGTTTTTTTTACATCCTAGTGGGAGCACCCTATAAATTTTGTGTCTAGTGGTACTCCATATTTATCACCAAAATAAAAAGCTTCTACATGGTTTTAACGAGAAGCCCTAACAATTTACTTATTAACTTTTCTCTTTACAGCTGGAGTAGTTGATGAAGATTACCGTGGTCTACTGAAGGTTGTTCTCTTCAACCATTCTGATAATGATTTTGAAGTAAAGAGTGGAGATAGAATTGCTCAGCTGATCTGTGAAAGAATATTTTATCCTGAACTTGAAGAAGTAAAGGTATAGTTTTTAATTCAGTATTTAAGTTTAGTTACCTAATTGTATAAACATGGAGCCTCTGGTTTTGTAATTGAATATTATTCATTTAATCAGCACATGTTAACATAAGTACACCCATATTCTGAGTGATTAATTCTAAATTAAAAATAACATTTGAAACTATAAAAATTTTGAATTATACATATTATGTACTTGTTTAGTATAGCATTATTAACTAGTCCTAAGAAGCATGCTATTATTTTAAGGCACTATTAGATTAAATATTTATAACATTTATGTAATTAGAATTACATGAATTTTAATATCCGTTATGATTGACAAGCTTTCACTTTAGGCTACCGCAAGGCATATATAAGATAATTATCATTTAATTTAATAACATTATACAGCAATCCTATTTTAACACAATTTGAGAAAACACATCGATTTATTTTTATAATCAAGAGTAACAAACAGTAGTTTCTTGTAACAGCTGTTACTACTAAGGCAATAGTAAAAAAGTATTTTTGAAGATCAGTTAGATATCTTAGACAAGTTTAAGAATATTAAATAGTAATTTACTGCAATATTTCCCTAAATTTAATTTCTGTTGCAAAAAAAAATATTTTGAGATATTAAAATATTTGTCATGTATCACTTACCTATTATATGAGCTGGTAATAATTATTACTACATTTTCCTTCAAATTTTCAAGGATTAAACATTGTCATAATTACTAACATTTCCTTTTTTCTTGAAAGTGCTTAGAGCACTTCAAAGAATGAGAGCAAAATCAATTATTATTGTCTAATTTGTGATTATTATAGTGATAGTGATTATTATTTAATTTTTAGGAGTTGACTGATACTGCCCGTGGTGAAGGAGGTTTTGGATCCACAGGAACCCAGTAGAAATGCATTATTTTAGTTACCATGTTCTGAGTATTTTTAAGGTTTAATGTTTTTGTTTCCTATGTAGTATTTAATATTCGTTTGTAAGTGTTTAATCATCAGTTCTTTGTAGATTTATGTTAAATTTATTTGGAAATGTATGAATAAAGTTCTTATTTTTTATGTTGACTTTTATTCAAGTGTGTATGTTCTGTTCTACATTCTTGTACTGCATTACTTCTGTTACAGGTGATAATTAACCATTATAGAATTTTAAATGAATTGCATGTTAACAGCATATGAACATGCAAGTTAAATACAGATTCATTAAATTGTTAAAAGTAAAGTAATTAAATAATTTGAGTTTTCAATATAAATAAACTGAACAAGGGAACAGTTGGATAAAATTACTAAATGTTGGTTGAAGTCAACCTTTGTTGCAATTCCAAAGAAGCAAAATACTACACAATGTGAATATTACTACCAACCAAATCATTTTAATGATATGACCTACTGAAGGCGTTGACATTATGATATTAACTATTGCTACAGACATTGCAGAAGATTGGTTCTGATGACAAATAAATGAAGATTATCCTTACATGGGAGAGTATATTGTTTACATAGAATATATTTTTGAGTAAATAACAAGTCGTTTTATTTAAAACAAACGTTTATTTAACATAATTTAGTAGGGTGTACAGCATCATCACCCAGCCCTTTGCGTCCACTGCTGGACATAGGCCTCCCTCATTTTTGTCCACTGTGCTCTGTCCTAAGCACTTTTCATCCAATTTCTTGACTTGTTCTTGGAATCGTCAGTCCATCGTGTAGGGGGTCTTCCTCTACTTCTTTTGTCTAATCTCAGCCTCACTCAAACAATCTCTTCGTCCACCTTTCATCACTGATTCGGGCGACGTGTCCGGCCCAGTTCCATTTTAGTGTGGCAATTCGGCTTATTCTTCGTCTTAAGTCTTCATTTCTAACTCAGTCACGAAGCGATATACTCAGCATTGATCTTTCCATTTTCCCCTGAGCTATTTGCAGCGTTTTAAAACTTGTAGCTGTCAATGTCAAAGTTTCGGCACTATAGGTCATCACAGGCAACACACATTGGTCAAATGTTTTACGTTTTAAAGAAATTGGTATATCGCTTTTAAAGATGTCTTTGAGTTTTCCATAGGCTGCGCATGCTAGGTTTATTCTTCTTCGTAGTTCACGTGTTGGTTGCCTCTTGTGATCTTTATTTCGTGTCCAAGATATATGTATTTTTCCAACAGCTCTACTGTCTCCAATATTGAAATTTCCTATAGGTACTAGGTTTGTCATGAATTTTGTTTTGGATATGTTTATTTTAAGACCCACACTGGCATACACTAACTGAAGTTCATGTAGCGTACATATCTCCTTGAGGTTATCCGAGAACAAAACTATATCGTCTGCGAATTGTAAATTTGTTAATCTTCTACCGTCAATGTTCAGGCCTTTCTCTTCCCAGTTAAGCTTTTTACAAGCATATTCTAGTACTGCTGTAAACAGTTTAGGCGATAAGGTATCACCCTGTCGGACTCCTCTGCCGATTGGGGTGTACAGTATAGACGTATTATATTAACACACACAGACCGAGCATGCCGGACGCGCTTACTGACGACAAGATGTCTATTCGGTTTGTTTTCTCTCTAGCGCATTGCAACTCTTCACTCTCTCCCCCTTACCAAAAGAGACACTGCTATACCTACTTAATGTAAGACACAGACACAACGAACAAAAGATGGTGTCACTTAGCTCTACAGACTGCTCTGCTCAGTATATGTTAATGTATAGGTACGCAAAGAATATAGAGGCATCTTTTTTATCAGTCTCATCTAACTGACAAGACGAATTCCCAAGCGTCGAGTCTCAATAGATCGCAACGTGGAAACTGCTCTACCAGGTACAACACCCTGCCAGGTACGTAGGTCATCTACAGACAATTCCGAGTTCCAACGTTGGAAAGATTATAATACCCATGTTTGTCCGTCTAAAGATCTGGTCTACTGGCAGGGATCGATCCCACATGATCCCACCCATCGAGCAAAAAGACAAAAGAGGGAATCTAATCCTTATGAAAAAGATCCATCTGACTTCAATATAAATAAGATTTCATGTGACATTTGGGACAAACAATAATATAACCCAACTAAATTTGATGTCAAACAAGGAGAGAGACTCTCTTTCCTTGTTTAATGTGGCTTCTAAAGATCGCACTTCCTGTCTAACAATATTTTTGCCCCTACTACCTTTACATTCCCTCTTTTGTGTCACGTTGTTTTGAGCCCTTCGACTCTCGGAACTCCAAGAGATATTGTTGCCACCTTTGACTAGAAAGGATATGGCCTTAGAGATGTTTAGGCATAATCTCACGGATGGTAGCTTCGCATCATTACCCTCTCGAGTAAGTGCGTCAACCAAATGTCCGAACGTGTGGTTCCTCTCGTACTGAGCAGGATTACTATCGCAACGACGAGTCATCAGTAGGGTAAAACTCACCTGTCTCACGATGGTCTAAACCCAGCTCACGTTCCCTGTCTATGAGTGAACAATCCAACGCTTGGCGAATTCTGCTTCGCAATGGCAGAAAGAGCTTGTTGAGAATGTAATACATTTATATTGTATACACAGATATATTGGTGTAAGAGTAAGCGGAACGCACCCATAGTGTCATGGGTTGACATGACAGACAATAATAGTAATGTCAATGAGTATCATGTAGTTGTAGGTGGGTAGTAAGAAGTATGGTGGCTTAAGTTAGGTTAGTTAATTAGTATGTATGTTATAGGAAATAAAGCCTTTTTATAATAGTAGTAAAGTACGACTATTTATTTTCCAAATCCACACCTTAACATGGTAGCAGAGGTCCGTGGTTGGAAAGTCGTACCTTTTTACAACAGAAAAAGTTTGGTGCAGTTTGAAAAAAAGTGTGGACACATGATGGCAGGTAGTAGTGATTTTAGAATACCTATATTCGATGGGGAGAATTATAAAATGTGGAAAAAAACGTCTTATGCTATTTTTGAAAATGAAGAAGTGTGATGTTGTGGTAACCAGACCGAAAAATGAAAATGATGATACAAATTGGGATGACGATGATGTAAAAGCAATGAATTATATATGCGGTGCAATATCGGATCGACAGATGGAGTACATCGACGAAAAAAACTACGGCGTATGAGATGATAAAGAAATTTGATAATTTATATTTGAAAGAATCAACGGCATTGCAGATAGTATGTAGAAAATAACTTGGAAAGATTAAAATTGAACAACTATGGAGACTGTGCAACATTTTTTAGTGACTTCGAAAAAGCTATAAACGAGTTAAAAAGCGCGGGTGCTAGTGTTGTCTGAAAAGGAAAAATTGAACTATATGTTAAACACGTTGCCAGAGTCGTACAGTTTATATTGGTGATTTAATAGATACATTAAAAGAAGATGATCAAACTGCAGACTACGTAAAAACTAAGGTTATGATGTCCGAATTAAAAAATCAAAACAATGATTTTGGAAGAAAATCCAGTACATTTGTGGTAAATAAAGGTCGACAGGATCGATCATGCTTCCAGTGTGGCGAAGTTGGTCATTTCAAGCGAGATTGCAAAAATGGCGCCAATCAAGCGTCGGGTAATGGCGGACAAACGACAAGCAGTAGAGGCTGGTGGAGAGAAACGCGAGGTCGACAAGAAGCCGGAAGAGGAAGCTACGTCAGAGGACGTGGCCACTCACGTGGACAGCGCGGAACGCATGGAACAAGTGCACAGCGGTTCAACCGACAAGGACAGAAGAACGAAGAGCGAAACAGTGCTTCTTGGCTTACAACAGTAGCTCTTGGTAAGGATATGTCAGTTATTGCACAAAATACTGAAATAGGTAATGTAAATAATTGTATTGAAATAAAATGGCTTTTAGATAGTGGTTGTACAGACCACATTATTAATGATGAAAAAATTATTTGATAAATGTAAATTACTTAAAGATCCCATTAATGTTTATTTAGGAGATAATAGGGTTGTAAAAGCTACTAAAATTGGAAATGTTTTAAGTTACTTTGATGCTTTTGGTAAAAAGAGTTTAGTAGATATGCAAAATGTTTTCTATGTTAAAGATATGAAATCAAATTTGATAAGTTATAGCAAAATAACAGAAAATAATAAGATTATTTCTCTAGGTAATATTTCAAAAGTTTTTGATAAACTTGGTAATATAACAGCAGTTGCTTTAAAAAATAATGGCTTATATATTATGAAAAGTAAATTAAAATCAGTTGAATTGCATGTAAATGTTGCAAATAAAGATATGAATAATATGAATCAAAAGGAAAAATGGCATCGTTTATTAGGTCATGTAAATTTTAAAATATTCAAATATTTTATCTAAAGATCAGCTGTTGAATGGAATTCCTAATGAGTTTGAATCTGAATTTATGAAATGTAAGATTTGTATTGAAAGTAAAATGCATAATATTCCGTTTGTAAACAGTAGAAAAAAAGCTAAAGATATTTTAGAGATTGTACATACTGATGTTTGTGGGCCTTTTCGAACTACTGGGTTTAAAGGTGAAAATTATTTTGTTTCTTTCATTGATGATTATAGTAAGATTTCTAAAGTATATGCTATAAAATCAAAAGCAGAAGTATGTGATTGTTTGAATGAATATACGAATGAAAGTGAAAATTTGACTGGAAAGAAAATAAAGATTTTAAGATGTGATAATGGGAAAGAATATTTGAACAGTAAAGTCTACAGATTTGCAAAAGAAAGGGGTATAGTAATTGATAATTGTCCTACATATGTACATGAATTGAATGGGACTGCAGAACGGTTTAATCGAACTATAATGGATATGTCAAGATGTTTGTTGGCTGAAGCAGATATTCATAAAAAATATTGGCCTGAAATAGTTTGTGCTGCGGTTTATTTGAAAAAATCGTACTTTATCTGATACAATTGAAAAGAAAACTCCATATGAAATATTTTTTGGACAGAAACCTGATGTTTCTAATTTGCGTTTGTATGGAAGTAAAGTTTTTGTACGAAGACCAGAACAGAAGAGAATCTCTAAATGGGATAAGAAAGCTGATATGGGAATTTTAATTGGTTATAGTAATGTTGGTTATCGTGTATTATTAAATGGCAGAGTCATTGTTGCTAGACACAGTGGATATTGTTGAAGAAAACGTTAAGTGTATAGGTTTAGACTTTAACGAATCAGATAATGATAATAATGAAGAGTGTTACCCTGATAAAATTGATGAAAGCTCTGAAAATGACTCAATAGATGAAACTTTTGAAAGTACAAATGAAAGTATGGATGATAGTGTGAATAAAAATGAACCTGAGTTACCTAGATCTCACAGAGCCAAAAATCCTCCAAAGAAATTTGATGACTACTATGTATATAATAGTAGTATTTTTGTAAATATGTGTAGAACTGATATACCACATACATTTGAGGAGGCGATAAATTCTAATGAAAGTAAGTATTGGAAAACAGCTATGGACAAAGAAATTGATAGTTTAAATAAAAGTAAAACTTGGAAATTGGTTAAAAATGATACAAACAAAAATATTCTGGATGTTAAATGGGTTTATACTAAAAAGTCTGATAATACTTATAAAGCTAGATTGGTTGTACGAGGTTTTCAACAAACTGATGAAATTGATGATATTTATTCACCTGTGGCTAAAATGCAAACATTAAAGATTTTATTGTCATATTGTTGTCAAATGGGCCTAGTAATTGAACAAATGGATGTTGAAACAGCCTTTTTAAATGGTAAAGTAATTTCTGAAGTTTATATTAAACAACCTAAGGGTTATGAAGATGGAACAAGTAAAGTTTGTAAATTAGTTAAAGCTTTATATGGTTTAAAAGAAAGTCCAAGGGCATGGTATGAGTGCCTAGATACATTTTTTGATAAATTTAGGTTTTGAAAGAAGTAATATTGATCCTTGTTTGTACGTTTATAAAATTGGAAATGATATTATTTACTTATTAATTTATGTCGATGATTTATTGATTTGTGGTAGAAATTTAAATGAAATTAAAAGGATTAAAATTTTATTATCAGAAAAATTTAAAATGAAAGATATTGGTGAAATTAAAGAATATCTTGGTATTACTGTTGATTATGATTCTAGTAAACATGAAATGAGATTGGATCAAAATAAATATATTGAATTATTAAGGAAAAAATATAATTTAGAAAAAGGTAAACTGTATAATACACCTATGGAAGTAAATTTAAAAATTGATAAATCTGATCATTGTGAAAGAAATATTAAATATAAAAATTTAATTGGTGCACTATTATACATAAGTTCGGCAACAAGGCCTGATATAAGTTTCAGCGTAAATTATCTGAGTAGATTTCAAAATTGCTATAATGAAACGCACTTTAAATATGCTGTACGAATTTTGAAATATTTATGCTTAACTAAAGATTTAAAATTGTTTTATAACAGAAATGAAAAAGTAAGTATTATTGATTGTTATGTGGATGCCGATTGGGCAGGTGATCATTTAGATAGAAAGTCTACAACTGGTTTTGTAATAAGATTGTTTGGTAATGTAATTTATTGGAAATCTAGAAAACAAAAAAGCGTTACAAAAGCTTCAACTTTTGCAGAGTATGTAGCATTGTCAGAAGCAGTAAGTGAATTGATATTTGTAAAAGAATTGTTGAAAATATTCGATATTGAAATAATAAAGCCAATTGATGTTTATGAAGATAACACTGGTACAATTAGTATAGCTAATTATGGCAATTTTACAAAAAATTCTAAGCATGTTGAAATTCATTATCATTATGTAAATGATTATGTTAAAGCAAATGTTATAAATGTGGTTAAAGTAGATTCTGATGATAATATTGCAGATATTTTTTTACGAAGTCCTTGGGCCAAGATAAATTTGAAAAATTTCGAAGTATGTTAAATTTGAATTAATGTAAATACAATGTAAATGTAAGGAGGCGTGTTGAGAATGTAATACATTTATATTGTATACACAGATATATTGGTGTAAGAGTAAGCGGAACGCACCCATAGTGTCATGGGTTGACATGACAGACAATAATAGTAATGTCAAATGAGTATCATGTAGTTGTAGGTGGTAGTAAGAAGTATGGTGGCTTAAGTTAGGTTAGTTAATTAGTATGTATGTTATAGGAAATAAAGCCTTTTATAATAGTAGTAAAGTACGACTATTTATTTTCCAAATCCACACCTTAACAGAGCTGACATCGAAGGATCAGAATGCGTCTATAGTATGTACAAGGATATGTCAAATAGTTTTAAAGTACTGGGTACAGATAGTTTCTAAATTTTTAAATAAAACATCCTATAGTTTAGCAAGAAGCCACGTTTTATTTAAGTCATTTGGGTTAAACCTTAATATTTTCATCCCAGGAATATACAGTAAAAATATTTCCAATTATTGATGAAACACCCTGTATAGCTCTGTGTGGTGCAATGGTAGAGATATTATTAACTTAATTATAGCTTATTTCCTGTTTTTATTTTTCTTGATGTATTTTAATATATCTCCTTAATAAATTTAATTATTCGTTTGCTTAAATGCGTCTTCTCTAGTGATTTCCACAGTTTGGTTATCTGTCCTTTTTCTTCATTTTTTTGTACGTACCCATACTACAAACCATAATATTACAGAGTTCTTTATGTAAACTAAATCATCATGCAATGATGAATAATTGGGTGTTTTGAAGTAAGATTTTAACAAATAATTTTTTATTTAAAAGTCCATTTTATTAATAATTACAATTTTTAACAAAGTAACTTTTGATTATAATTGCAGAATACTTAATTTGCATTTGATGGTAGATAGTCGTAATATTTTCTGATTTTTACATCGAGATGTACAAATAAACTATTCAAATATAGGCAACATGTTGTCAGCCTGGTTATCTAGCTTGTTAAGAACAGAAAGGATAGTTGGGGCAGGCGTGAGCATCTACTCCAGCTGGAATTTGACCTACACCATGTGCTTGGTGGGCATTTTGTGGAATACCTCCGTTGTTCCATTGGTTAGGGGCTCCTTGGTTGGGGGCTCCTTGGTTGGGGTTGTCCCATTGAGAAATTAAATTTTGGTTTTCTGAAAACGGAAAACAACAAATATAGTATAGAATAAACTCAGTCGACGAAAGACTTTTTCAAAATGGACTATTTTGATACGTACTTTACCTTTGTAATGGAACCAATTTTAATATTAATAGTTAATATATTTAATTTATTTTTATGCTAGTTGTACTAACCGTATCCTGGAGCACGAGCTTCAACAAGTCCTTCACCGTGATAATCTCCATCACCGATGTATTCTCCTTTGTTAAGTCTAGATGTAGCATCGTTTCCCCACTGTTGTGGAACTGGAGCTGGGTTGTATTGTCCCTGAAACAAATGACAACTAGTTAAAATACAATTAAACAACTTGTAGTATAGTGGTTGATTTCCAAATCTTTATATTAATAGATACCTAATAATATATAACGAAAATGTCTGCATAAATCGAAAAAAAAATATTTAGTTGAGGATATGGTTTTAGCAGTATAACCAATTAGCAGAAGCGCACTACAGAATTAGATGGAAATATCTAGAGGAGGTCTATATTTAACAATGGACAAATTAGGGCTGATTAGTAATGACGATGCTGTTTTGTCTGTTTGCTGTTTTGCTGTTTTAACTAGTACAAATAAAAGAATTTTCTTTTGTTTGTACTAGTTAAATATAAGATAAATGTATATATTTTTGCACAAAATGTCGACATTAATATTCGTATCTATAACGAACATATGAACCAGTACAAAGATTCCAGTATCTTGGTTGCTGGATAACAAACGATCTTGACCACGAGGTCGAAATACGTGCTCGTATAGAATACGCTAGGTCAGCGTTTCAACGAATGAAAAAATTCCTAATAAACTCTGCGTTATCGTTGAATATCCGATACCAATTTGTAAAAACGTTTATTTATTCCATATTGCTATACGGAGTGAAAACATGGACTCTCGGAATCACAAGTATGAGGCGTATAGAAGCCTTCGAGATGTGGGTTTTTCGAAAGATGCTGAAGATCTCTTGGACAGAGCACGTGACCAACAACGAGGTGCTAAGAAGAATGGGTACTGAGAGAGAACTCCTAAATATTGTAAAAAAAAAACAGAAAAACGAGTTATCTAGGACATATTTACAAAGGAGAAAAATACAACTTCCTACGACTTATAATCGAATGGAAAGTGGAAGGAAATGCTCCTGGTTGAAGAATGTGAGAGACTGGACAGGCATGGACACATCTTCGATACTAAGAACAGCTCAAGATAGAGAGCAATTTGCTGTAGTTATAGCCAACCTTCAGTAATGGAGAAGGCACTTTAAGAAGAAAGGTGCTACGACATCCATCTACGTTCATGAACCATCGATTTTGAGCTATAGTGTATGTGGGTTTAATTATACGTCTTGGGTTTAAGACCCGTATTTTTAAGCCATAGGGTCGAAAAGATTAAATGTGTTTGGTTTTTTTTTATTTTAAACTCGTTCAGCATTCCCATTTTTGGGAAAGAAAAATCCTAAGGAAGATCTTTGGTCCGGTGCTTGATGAAGCATCAGGACAATATAGGATAAGAACTAATAAAGAGCTTGAAGAACTTTACTTAGACGCCAACATCATAAAAGAAATAAAGTCCAGAAGACTCCAATGGACAGGACACCTCAGAAGACATTCTGACGAACGAACAGTAAGACTGGTGTGGGAGAAAGTCCCAACTGGAAGGAGACCACGCGGACGCCCTCGTCTTCGCTGGCGAGATAATATAGCAGGAGACCTAAGCACTATGGGCGTGGAGAATTGGATGGAGGTTGCTCAAGACAGAAAACAGTGGAGGCATGTTGTCGAGTCGGCTAAAACCCACGAAGGGTTGTAACGCCACGGAGTAAGTAAGTAAGTACGTTCAGCATTAATTTTTGTGAAGAGAAAAATGAAATGAGTTTTGTGGGGATTTGCTCTATTGATTTTGCCGGGTTTGGGGTTCAGCCCCTCTTTATATACCATAATATAATGGATCATGAATAAATTATTTACATATAAGAATTTTTTTTAATTATTCAAATAATAGAAGTTATAGTTAAAAACAAAAAAAAAAGAGTTAATAAATTATTTGATCTGAATAAAAAATTATTTTTAATTTAATATAATATTATTTAATATAATTATTTAATATAATTAAAAAACTTAAAACACTTGGTTTAAAGAGGATGGCCGATGACCCCCAACGCCCCCTTGAATTCGCCGCTGATGCTCTGAATGTCGTGGACAGAAGTACAGAAAGCCAGTGGCAAGACAATTCCTGAATTCATGAGGATAGGGTATGAGAGGGTATGAAGGAGAACGAGGAAACAATGAGAGAGAGAAATAAAGAGAGAGTAATAAGCCAAGAATATTGATATCAAAACGTTGGTGGCAAAATCGTATTCATTTGTTCTTTTTAGTTAGTTAGTTAGTTTTCATGTCTACAACTTATTTTTGAAAACTGTAAAAACTTAATAATGCCAATAGATATATCGTCGCAATAGAACGAAGCCTTATAAGTTTGCTTACTAAACCTTATGAGAATAGTTAAGCAGAAATACAAAACTTATACTTTGAAATTAATAGTCAAAAGAATTTGACTATGATAGTAAGTTTAGAAACAAAAAACAAGTACAGTTACAGTTACAGAAAAAAATAAGTTTTGGATTATTTCAGCAGAAAAAACAATCTAGAGTTTAGTAATCCATAATAATCCTATAATATAGTAATTTTTTTGATTGACTAGTAATCTAATAATAATTATGTTTCTTACTTGATTCCATTGATTGTTGTTGTTCCATTGTTGTTGAGGTTGGGCATTCCATTGTTGTTGAGGAGCTCCCCATTGTTGAGCAGCTGGAGCTTGTGGATTGGCAGCTACTGAGGGATTGGCACAGTTAGGGAAATTTGGACAGGCTTGTGGACTAACTCCTGCGGGGAATTGATGTGCTGGCTGGCCACCGGCTAAGGGACCATTCCAGGTAGCTTTGGCTACTACCAAAGAGCAAGCTAATACGACCTAATGAAACATTAAGCTTTTTAATGGAAATCTAATGTAAAATTACCGTAGTTGTGATGCATTTTACAGTAAAAAGGTAAACAAGACAAGAAAAAAAGAAATACCAATTATCTAGTTAGTGTTGGATCCAATAATTTTTTTTTAAATAAGTCTTATTGTTAGTAAGTATGTAACACATTAAATAAAACTTGTTTAAGAAATATTACTTATTAAGAATAATAGAACTGTTCACTTTTTTTGTTTATTATAATATGCTAATTTTTTGCACCGTTGATGTAATACTACTTTGTACTTGCGTTACAATTATCTATGTTTTTGTTTAAATCTCATATCCCAGCAGATGGGTTTCAGGTGTCTAATTGCTGTTCTTGTATTACCTTGCTGTTGTTGTATTTCTTCTTCTATCGATCCCTTTTTGTTATTTTAAACCCCAGGTGATTATAAACAGCTCCTCCTTTTATTATTACGTTGTTGTTTGTCTATAAATCTTCAATCTACTCTTTTGTTATTATGCGATATTCTGTTATTTTGAAATTAATGTCGAGATTTGACATTAATGTCAAATGATTTAATTTAAAATTAATGTCGAGTTTGTGGTCCGTATATTTTTCGATATAAATGTAGATGAGAGACTTTCACATAAAAAAACACAAGAAATATGAGTTGTAAATATTATATAATATATATATATATATATATATATATATATATATATATATATATATATTATATATATATATATATATATATTGTATATATATATGTGCGATCTCACACAAGTGATAAAATAGACTAGAGACTGGTTTCATGAAAAATGTATAAAATTTAGCTGCAATGAAAAAGAAAATAAGGCATCAGGAATTAAATAGAAGGGAGGGAAATGGGGAAAAAAATTAAAAACGAATCAAAATAATTTTATCACGAAGCAAAAAAAGGAACATGAAGTTTGGAAAATAGAAAGGTACTTAATTATCTAATACTACTATCATGTGACTGTAATTACAACCTGTAATATCTCAAAAATTGTACCTGGCGTTGTTCAATGATTTATTCGTGAAATTTTCCTGGAATTTCATGTCCTCAGTTTTTGAGATTACCAAAGTAATTGGACAAGTGTTTTTGTAAATGATACCCATATTATTGTCGGAGATAAATATAAGTGTATTTATAATTATTAATGTGACATTTTTAATTTAGTGAGTTTATTATGAAGTCAAGTGAATTAAATAAAATTAGTTTTAATTACCCATACTTTACTTAATCTTTGAACCCATAGAGAAACGTAACTCTCTTAACGCATACTAACTACTGACAAAACAGAAGTTTGTAGGACTAAACAACAACTTCTAGGTATGCACTATTGAGAAAGATAACAAAATCGCCAAATTGTCACAAAAGAATATAAAAGTTACTCAATAACCCCAATAATAACAGAAGAACTATCGAGAATGACATATTTGCCTGTATTAATATCAAAATGAATAAGTTGGAAGACAACAATGCATTTCTACCATCTTGTAATGTGTTTGTGCCCATTTGTGCTTTGTGTATCAATGTTTTTTCTGTTATTCTCATTACTATTAATATTTCATTTGTTTTGCAAAATGCCTTAAAATCGAGTGATAAAAGTAATTCAAACATTAAATCCTCAAGGAAATAGAACAAGAGGAGGGTCTTGTAAAAGATAGATGTAGAGAAGGACCTTAAAACTATAAACATCAGACAGTGGAGAAATAAAGTATCCCGTAGGGCAGAATGGAAGAACATAGAATCATACTCATAAATACGGTAGACCAGAACAATGATGTCGAAAGACTGGCAACAAATGGAATGGAATAATTACGGAGTCAACAGAACTAATAATAGGAAAAGGCAAGAAGAGAACAAGGAAATGGTTTGATAGAGAATGTCAAGAAAAACTACACGACAGACAGATAAAGCGAAACATTATGCTTCAACAAGGAAGAGCAGAAAGTAAAGAAAACTATGCCACTTTACGCCGAGAAATAAGAAAATTAATTAGAGAGAAAAAAGGAAGTACGAACAAGAGAAATATGAAGAAATAGAAAGGAATAGGCAACAATCAAATAGTCGAGCATTTTACAAATCAGTGTCAAACAAAAAGAAAGGCTTTAGACCTAGTGTGTCTGTACTCAGAAAAAACGATGAATTAATAATAAATGAAAAAGAATTGATCCAAACATGGCAAGAATATTTCAAGACTTTACTAAACATACATTAAGAGCAAGAACATGGAGAAAATATATATTTTGGGGTGGACCTATCGGTACAGGACCCCAAAATAGATGAAACATTGCAAGCATTTAATAAATTGAAGAACGGAAAAGCTCCAGGCTCTGAAAATATACTGGCTGAATTCCTTAAGTACGGAGGAGAAACTCTACATAGACAAATACACAAACTAATAACACTTACGTGGTACAAAGAGAAAATACCAACAAAATGGCACGAAAGTGTAATAATCCCATCTATAAAAAGGGAGACAAAACCAAGTTCTCTACTTATAGAGGCATCTCCCTACTTAATACGGCATATAAAATATTATTGAACATTCTATTAAGTACGCTGACATCGTTTGTAGAAAATTTCATGGGGAATACCAAGCCGGCTTCAGAAAACATAGATCGACCATAGAGCAGATCTTTACTCTAAGAAAGCTGCTTGAAAAAGGATGGGAATTCAATAGAAATATCCACAATCTCTTTATAGATTTCCGGCAAGCGTACTACAGAAATAAAAGGAATCAAATGTGGAATGTAATGGCAGAACTTTCAGTTCCAAAAAAACGTATCCAGCTTGTTAAGTTATGTGTGAATAGCTGTAGATCCAGAGTACTGATAGGTAGGGGAAGTGTGCCTATGTTGGACCCCTGCCTATGACGGACCCCCGGCTGTAATTTTAAATAGCATGCGGTTACATACACATCGCCGGTTGCCGCTTGCGCACGAAGTTTGTAGTTTAGTATTTGCAAAGTTTCAGACACGTGGCTGTTATAACAGTAAATTTGTGAAATAAAATTAAAATTTGGCGTTGCTGATCTAATAAATTTTTTTGGTAAGTAGCATTTTACTGGTAACATACGTTAAGCTAAGTGTTGCTTTTGTTTTGTATAAAATGACTACACTTTCTTTGTTAAATACTATACTTTGTTTTAGGTTAAAATGGTCAAAACAAAAGTAACAGAATTAAATTTGCTACCTTGTCTATTTGCCTATGATGGACCCCTGTGTCGTTACCTATGACGGACTAGGGGTCCATCATAGGAAAAAGAAAATAAAATTGGACACACCTTCAGTTTTTGTTACTTAATGGTTAACATAATATGTTTTACAGGGATGGCTCTATAAAAAAGGCAACAGTGGAACGAGAGTAATATGTAACAAGCTTTAAAAAGCATACAAGAAAAAACTATGGGGTTTAAGCTGGCAGCAAAAACATTTAACGTTCCAAAAACGACTTTGAAAAGGCGCTTTATTAAGCATCAAGGAAGTATCAAAGGTGATTTGGGAGGACGAAGACCAATATTCTCCACTACTATTGAACAGGAAGTTGCTGACCATATTATTACTATGGAAACTCGTTTTTTTTGGCCTGACTAGTAAAGATTTGCGAAAACTTGTATACGAAGTAGCTGAAAGAAACAATATTAGCCACAATTTTAATAAGGAAACCAGGATGGAAGGCTGGAAATGGGTCAGAGGCTTTTTAAAGCGAAATCCTCGAATATCATTACGCACTCCAGAAAATACTTCGCTGGCAAGGGCTCAAGCTTTTAATAAACCAAATATATGTGCCTATTTTACTGCATTAGCAAATATATTAGACGAGTTTCACTTTCCACCGAAAAACATTTATAATATGGACGAGTCCGGTTTGACAACTGTGCAAAAGAAATCGCAGAAAATTTATGCTAGTAAAGGTCGCAAACAAGTTGGAGCTTTAAGTAGTGCAGAGCGCGGTCTACATGTTACGGTCGTATATGCAATGAATTCAATTGGAACATATGTTCCTCCTGCTTTGATTTTTCCTCGACAGAGAAAGAAAGATGAACTTATGATCGATGCACCTACTGGAAGTATAGCCTTCGCTCAAGAAAAAGGATGGATGACTTCCGATATTTTCTATTTGTAGCTGCAACATTTTTTAAGGTATACAAAGGCTTCTAAGACCAACAAAGTTTTGTTGTTACTCGATGGCTATGGTAGTCACAAAAGTTTTGAAGCTCTCCAGTTTGCAAAGGAAAACGGTATTATTATGTTTTGTTTTCCTGCTCACTGTTCTCATCACGTTCAACCCTTGGACGTAGGATTTTTTAGACCACTTCAAATTTACTACGGCCAAGAAATTCAATTATGGCTGCGACAGAATCCAGGTAAAACGGTGACCCAATTTAAAGTAGCCAGTCTCTTTAATAGAGCGTATTTAAAAAGAGCTTTACCATCAAATGCAATCAATGCATTTAAAAAGACAGGAATACAACCATTCAATTCAGATGTCTTCGAGGATTGGCAATTTTTGCCGTCTATAACAACAGATAGAGAAAATTCTGAACAAAACCCACTGCCAGAATGTTCTGACCAGAAGTCACCACCGGAACATTGGAGCCAAAATGTTTCTTCGATTGAAAGTTTATCAAAAAGCCCCACTGATCAGAAATCAACATCATCGTCAGTTCTAAACATCTCGGTAGAAGATATTTGTCCTCCTCCTTTAGCTGGAGTATCTCAAGTAATGCAGAAAAGTGGTAGAAAACGGGGTAAAACAGGATATTTAAATTCAACGCCAGAAATTGAAGATATAAAACAAAAAATTTCAGACAAAGAAGCAAAAAAAAAGGAAACAAGACGCCAGAAAAGTGAAAGGCAAGTTCGTGTTTCAACTACAAGTGGTTCTGAAGACGATTGTGAATGCTCTTTTGTAGAAGGCGACTCGGACGATGCAGCTTGCATCTACTGTAACGAACTATTTTCGCATTCACG